CTGTTAGCAAAAGGAAGAGAAAAATCTATATAGTGTTTACACTGGATTGCTTGACATTTTTAATTAATTAATATTAAATGAAAAGACAAAAAACAGTTGGTATTGTACTTCCATCCAAGCAGCAACTCCACTCAGTAACACACTGCACATACATCTTAGAGAATATGGTGCCTGTGAAACCTCCACTGGCTGGGGATCCAAAAGTCTCTGAACTACAACACTGCTAACATCACAGCCTTGGAGATCAAAACTACTTCCCTAATAAAATAAAATTAAGGGAACATCTCTGGGAAGTAAAAAGGCAATTTCTGTTATTTTAGCCAGTGAAGCCTTGGCACTTTTGCTCAGACTACAGCTAAGAGTGCTAATAAATGCCAAACGCAGTGGTGTAATGACATAACATGAGTCTTGTCTATGCCTAAGCTGACACCAGCAAGTGCCTTCATCACAGCTAAGTGAAAGCTAATACAGAAAAAAGATATACTGTCTAATAACATGGACCATACAGATTCCTGTGGCATGGAAACAGGGATTTTATCCAACTATCCTTTCCTGATTTCAGTAACGATCACCTGAGAAGACAAATCAAAACTTAGAAATCCCTTCGAATGACAGGATGCATTTGCACAGAGCTGAACTCCTTTTGTAATACCTAAAATGCAACAGCACAGATCTACTTCATCATTTGCATTAAAGTAGAGATGGATGAATCGTGGTCCTTGCTCAGGAAACACTCAAGTGAAGCTCCTCCATGCAAACACAACTCATCTAAATGAACATAAAGAGAACTACACGCGTTGCCATCATGGGATGCTCACTCCAAATGTCTGTCTGTACCTCAAGTTAATTTACTCAAATATTATTTACTTACATGCCCTTCAGTGTGATTATGGCTCTTCCAGATAAGCAGAGACATTTAAATTTTCTGTTTCCTTTTAATTTCCAAATGTTTACACACTATAGCCTGTTTATTGAACTGTTTACTAAAGCGAACACTTGCTCCATTTTATCAACCTCCTCCACAGTTCTTCAGAGTTTTGCTCGATCACAGCAAGAGCTCCTTTCTGAGCTGTGAACAAACTGTTTGTCAAAACAAATACACTTAAATGCTGGAATCACCCTGCCCTGCAACTGAACACCTCTGAACACACACAGGCCCTCTTCTTTTGAAATTACTACCAACATACAAACACACATACACTATATGAACTTCTTCTTCAAAAATCCTTAGATCCCCTTTCTTAAGTCAGCACGCTGTGTGACTACTCTGTGCAACGTGTATTCTTTGATTTGGGTTGCTGTTCCTTGGCCATTACTTTTATGTTTACCTATACAAAGCTGCATTTTCAAGTCACTGACCACGTAATCTCTGAGATCCACCTTTTTCCCACTGCTCGCTGTTCAGTAGTGGAGCTGCTCTGTAGATGCAGCCACAGTAGTTCAGCCACATTCAGTCATCTCTCACCCAAATCCATGATGCACTGGATATAGTTTACTGTTCCTAATAACATTTAAAGTAGATTTCTTAAAAGTTGTTTTGTAAACTGAAATCTGCACGTGCTGCTTATAACCCTTCCTGAGGTGATGCCTAAACTGGACCATAGACACCAACTCGGTACGGCTGCCTATATTCCTATGTGCCTGGCTACTAAGCACATACACACTCTTAAAAGTTAGGTCATGATTGGACTCATGTTCTGAATCAAGTTTCATAGGGCTGACACAAGTAAGCTGCAGCCTAAGCTGAATATCTAAAACCATTGGGTCATGAAGATCCAAACCCTAGGACACATCAATAACGTCACTATGCATTCTATTTTACCCAATTATTTCATTTGTAAGATCCTTGTAAGATGACACAAAACTTAGCTAAGTTACCTGGCACCCATGCGAGGATGTATTTTCATATATTTATGCAGGAGAAAAGGGGAGGTGAAAATAGGTAAGGGGATTTTCCTTAAACCAACAAGCCTCTAAGAGAGTCAAGTGTACTGATTCATCCAATCACATTTAACTAGCAGACTTTGAAAAATCACTGCCATGAGAAGAACCACTTGATGCACTAAAGGTTGGACCACCTAAGTGTTCTGTCTTGTCTGTGTTTAATCTCCCAGCCAATCTACCCCTCACTTCACCATTTCTACATCAGAACAGGTTTTTTCCTTAGTTTTCAGTCCTCATAAATCTGCTCCACCATTTCTAATAATATTAGATAAAACTTCACTAATTTCTCCCCCGAATAAACTATTTAATACCCTTTTATTTAAGACATATGTGTGCAATCAATTCTGTTGTATTTACTTGTATTACACACACAGTATTCATCATCTTGACAATTTTAAAAAGTTTTAGAACACCATTTCACTTAACAGCTTAAAAAAAAAAAAAAAAAGATTTATTTGATGGTTAACTTTGGAACAAGTTATCTGCATTAACTTCCATTGTTTTGGCATAAAGTAGTTCTGTATATTTTACTAACAACAACGGAGACATGATAAAGGATGTAGGCAGAGAGCCATAAACAGCTCTCACTGCAAGACCCAGTGTTCATGTAGAAGCATTAATTTTTTGGACTTTGATTGGAAGACATGTCTGTGTTCAGCCACTTGGATTTTACTAAATACAACCGTGTATAAAATGTTGTACCTGAATATAACAATTTTAACTGCAGAAAGACCACTGTAAATCATACATAGTATAAACCTGTCCACATGATTGGAATAATATAATGGATACTGTAGTCCCTAGCCACTTGCTAATGTTCTTTATGACACTTAAATAAATGACTTGAAAATAAAATAGCAACACAGAGTCTTCTAAACCTGCTCATGTGCCTTTCCCAAATGCATGCTAGAGAAAGACAATGTATAGTTAACACTTTTTTTCTGTCTGTCTTCTCTCTGGAGCAAATTTGCTCTAGCCACTCTTCTTTCTTCTTCCAAATTCATATTCATGTCTTCTTTTCCCTCCCACCTTTCAGACTGAGTCGTCTCTCCACCCGGTACCTGCGTGGATCTTGGTCAATGTTAATCATCAAGAGCACGAAGGATTTCTACAGCACCACCCAGCTGGGAATCTCAAAGGCATCTACAACTTTGGGAAAAGAAAACAAAACAGCTCCTCCAGTGTCTTATTTGGAGCCAGCCCCTGCTCCCACAGACACCATCACAGTTTCTGAAACTTCTGTCCAAACTTCAGAAAATATCACTGTGGGGAGGCAGAGCAGGGGAAGGATGCTGCTGGGAGTGGAGCATGTAAGCTTCAGGAGAAGGCTGCTACAGCAGCAGGTTGCTGGCTTCTACCTATCAAGACAGATGTACCATTTTAAACCCCACTCTGAAGAAATCCATGAAATTTTACTTGGAGAAGACCTATGCATTTTCCCTTGCTCTTCTGTAATGTTACATTACATTCCATGTCTTCATTTGAAGCACTTTGTTTGCCTAACAACAAATTACCAAGGGAAATTGGTTTCATCTCATGGCACTGCAAGTGTGCACCACTGTATTAAACCAACAACAAAAAAGAATGGCAGGGCATTGATGTCACTGCTAGATGAACAGACACTACATCAGAAAGACTAACTAGAGGGTTGGTTTAGGTCAGGTCAGATTATATAGGCAAGGTATGTGTGCTGTATACAGTTTGGAATAGTTTGTATGAATGGATGTAAGCTAAAATTGGCACTCTAAGCAAAGTTAAAGACAGTTCTGAAAGTGATGTGGATTTCTTTTTAAATCATATGGTGGAAAAAAAAGGTTTAAAAATAATAAAAGTAGATAAGAACGTTTTCAATTCATGCATTCTTACAGAACATAAGCAAAACTGCTCTCCAAAAGCCAAGTACAAGCGAGTCATTTGCAGTCCCTAAGAGCCACAAACCTTCCCCAGGCTTTGGAGATCCAACAAGTGCACTTTGAAGCTGCGGTGTTTATTTTGCCACTGATGGCGCAGTCATGTCCAGACACACAATTTAACAGACTCACTGTTGGAGAATCTCCTTTGTCTTCCTATCAACATGATCACAAGCGTTTCTTTGCTACCTGTAATATGTCCAGTAGAATTTATGTGATCAAAAACCACACAGAGGTTCATGATTGGTGCAGAGTTGATGGGACACAAAATACCTGGAGTCCATTTACCTTATAACTGCCACAATGGACATAAGCTCCGCAGTAACTGGGAAATCCTACTTTTGCCCTTTCTTACCTTCTGCCTCCTGGAATTTTTCCCATTCCTATCATGAATTTGCTCCCATCACTACTGGGAATGTCCCAGCTGTAGACATTCTATGATCCTATGAAGTGACAAAACTTCCAGACTCTCTTTTAGTGACTATTTTTCTTGATTACAGACACATTTTGTTCAGCTGTGAGAAAGAACTGTTGAGGGTGTTCAGGTGTCCCAGAGCTGAGTTACAGTTGAAACCTAAAAGCCCGAAAGCAGATTCCCAATGTTTAAGGAATTTGGTATTAGGGTTAACTGAAGTTGTCAAATACTTTCTGGGGTCTAATTTCTCTTTCTGATCTTCAGCAATGCTTGTATTTCTTCATTCAGAAGAGGGAAGAGATTACTTGTCAGCAGTAATCTCTAACACAGATAATGCCATATAAATATTAGGGGCTTATAAGCATGGACACGGATTAGGAGCAAAGAGAGAGAACAGAAATAAAACTGAACAGAGCCAAGATTAAGCACTGGGAAGGGCAAGGCAAAAGAAAATACAAGGTCTGTGGCTGAGCATGTCTTCCCACAGCTGAACATACATTTTCCTGAGTAGAATAAGTAGGATTTATGTAGAGATTTGGAGTGCTAACAGCACCTCTTCCCTGTTAGTGAAGTAAAATATATAGAAGCATCAAAATATTTGAGATGTGCTCATTCCCCTCTGTCATTATCTCCTCTCAGCTGTCTCCTCCATGACATGAGAAACATAGAACAGAGTCACTTCCAACCTTCTACCGAAAGTCCATCCAATTCTACCAGGTTGCTAAGGGCTG